CAGAGGATTGGTCGAATTTTTGGTACCGTGACTCCTCTCTTGCCAGTACCCCTTTAATGTGTGTCTTGTGCCAAAGAATATTAATTATTGTAGGCTACAGTGAAGTCCATCCCTACCCTGACTTGAGCCTCTGAAATGAATACTTAAGTTGAACTTTGCCAGCAACTGTTAGGAAAAGGGCCAAGAACAGCCTAACAGGAAAGATACTGAGGATTTTTTGTTTGTTTTTCTGCTAAACCATGTTTTTGTAATTATGAATTCTTTGTTGAAATTGCTCAGAAAAGGAAGTGCACATAAATGGTCCGTGCGATTAAACTAACTACATATTAGAGTTGAAGGAATATAAGGCTGGTCTCACTCTGTTGCACTCACACAGACAAAATCCCTTCTCAAAAGGAATTTGGCTTGAGAAGGCAGATCTGGAGACAAATCTGAGTTAACTTCAGGCCCATGTGCCATATTGTCTGGTTTATGACTGCCCCAAATGGCCTAAAAGCAAAGGACATTCACGCTAAACAAAAGCAATGGCTGAAAGAAAGAGGAGGAGGAATTGGAAAGCTGTCGCTTCTAAATCCTTTCTACTCAAAAGTTGGTTCCTGACTCTGGACCAGAAACCCCGAACAACACAGCAATTACTTTATGCTCCTAAAATGACATTCTACTAGCCTGGGGAGAAACAGGACTGCTTTATTTTGCTCAGTTTTAGATGAATGCTGTTTTAATCATTCCCACTTGCTCCCGCCACTTCTCCCCAAGCTTAGGTTTGTGCAATCTGGACTGCTAAACTGAGATCGATTGCCCTGGCAGCTTTCTCTTGCTTTCCACGACAGATGATTCTGGGGTATCAAAAAAAGGGTTTTCAAGTGTGGGAAATTACAACTTTGTCCCCAAAGTAAGTAATTAATTTAAAGGAGTAAGTTGCAGTAGGACCACTTTAAACTGCTGTACTTCAAATAGTATTTTATAGTTTCTATTTAAATGGTTTCCTCTAGGAAATAGCAATAAAATAGAAGCAGCCCTCTCCTGACTCCCAGACTGAGGCGCACGTATGTGACAGACATATCTCACTGTAAAAGGAAAAACATCTCCCCAGAGTGAGAAAGCTCCGTCTTTGGTTTATAAAACATTTTATGATTCAGACTTTAAAAAGTCTTGGGTTTAGTTAAAGGAAAATTAAATTTAGCCCTAACTGATGTAGTGAATGATACAGCGAACTAAACTTTTAGAAGCATGTGTGCAATATATATATGATGTCCTGTCAAGCACTTTCACTTTCCATAGTAACAAGCCACCAACTCTGTACACAAAATGGATTTGACACATAAACAATATTGCTGAAAACATGTCCAAAAGTAAAGCAAGGTCTACTGTATTACAAACCTAGTCTTTAAGGCCGATTCTGACCTTGTACAGTCCCTTATATAAGCAACAATATGCTGCCATTTGGCTGAGATCAAAACAAAGCCTCCCGTCTCCTCAATAAACAGTCCCGCAAAGCGCATTAGAGTGGGAAACTGGTAAAGTGTGCATGACTATTTTTACCCCCACCGTGTGTAATTGTGTGGGAGCCCGTGACAGCGACTAACTATTGCCATCTTAAGGTGGCCTTTAGCAGTGCTGCAGATGGAAGTCCAGCTCGCTGTGGCTGCTACTGGGCACTGCCCTTGCTACACACCCTGCCACTTGCAAGTTCTTGACCAGGGTGGTTGGAAGCGCTCGCTCCAAGGTTAGTCAAATCCTGCAGTACAGCTCGCTTTTGAAATACACACCTAACTGCTTTAATAGCATGAAAAAATATTGCAAAATAAACATTTTCCCCTCTTCCTCCTTTCTCTGACATATAAAATGGTATTAAAGATACCTAATCCCTGGCCAAGTAGATCTGCCAAACCCAGACCTCTGCTTCTAGCAGCTGGAAGTGGTACTGTTGGAGTTGTTTTGCCTACCTGTACTTCTGTAGCCTACCTGCACCTCTACAGCCTACCTGCCAAGACAGTTCTGTAACCAGATAGTGCTCAAAGTGCTTCATAAACTATTAATTTACATTGTAGACACGGTGCGAGATGACTACTGACCTGATTTATACACAGGAAGCGCAGGCACAGAACTAAGGGGAGCTGCAGACAGCCGGGGCACTCCTGCCTTCCAGCCCCAGGTGATCATGGTCTTCCCAAACAAAGCTAGGTAACTCAGTGGATTCAAAAAAAAAAATCCCTCTCGGTGCGTTTCTTCTGCAAGACATATCTGTAATTTTTGAATGTGCTATAACATTAAAAAGCAAGCAAGTAACTCCCAGCTGAGCAGCCTGTGAATATTTCTGTACTCACTCATCTTCTGTCACTCCTGCAACTCCTGGCTCTGAGCGTGGGTGGTGATGACATCAGGGCAGACCATAACTGGGAAGTTAAAAACAAATTGGGAGCAAACCTTCCCACGTCACTGGTTCCAAACCCATCCACACAGGGACTGAATGCAGTGCTACCTTCTTCTGTAGAAGAAATTTGGTACTTTCAGTCCAATGGGCCTGTGAAAAGGCTTCCATCCCTGGCTGGTTCTTCAGCCAGATGGCTTCTGCAGCAAAGTAGAAAACTGAAAAGGGTACATCTTACCTGCTGAACTGCTCCAACAGGACAGCGCTGACACACAGTGGCAGGAAAACTTACATCCTCAGTGCCTGATGATGTAGCTCTTCTGAGATTACAAGTGAAACCTGAACACTGCAATTACCTTGTATTTCTCCTGAAAGAACTTACCGAGACAGGTCTAGACACCTCAAACAAGCAATTCCTAAAATCTGTTGGACATGCATTTATTTTTGGATGTAATCTTTACCCTTAAATATAAAAGCATCCAAACTTAACAAAAAAATTAAAAAAAAAAAAAAAAAGAATCAGTCCAACTCTCTTACACCTTTGGCATTCTGTAAGGACATTCAATTCATTTGGGTAAGAATTACACAGTTCCCTTTCCCTTCACTGTTTAGGTCTTGCATACTGCCACCAGACCTGTCCCAAAGGCAGGCCCTCAGCTGCTTTTCACTGCAACCAAAATACTATTAATTGGATAGAATCATAGAATGGTTAGAGCTGGAAAGGACCTTAAAGATCACCAAATTCTACTACAGTTCACTATCTTTGCATAAAGCTGTAACAATCTGTTGTGAACCACTTGAGCAATCCAACATAAATCTGATACCAAAGACAGCCAAGCTTAAAATGCTTTAATTGAATTTTATAGAAGTAACAGAGCATGCATTTAATTTGGTGCTGCTGGTTTGTAGTTTAAATCGGCACGTGCTTTCTGCCCTTGGAATTACTGCACAGTGTTCAATTTGTTCAGAATAGAAGAGCACACAGCTACACAGTCATTCATATAACTAACCTTGCCCATTTAAGATGACTTTTGCAATTAATGGTAAACATCCCGTCATGTTTCCTAACGTGCCTAGAAGCACCGACTTGGGTGCCCAAGTCCCTTCAGCCCAGTTGCTCGGGTTGGGATGTTGCGCCCCCTATTGCCGAGCTCCCCCGGGACGAGGGCTCCCCTCCTCAAGCTGCCCAACAGCGCCACCCAGCGGCCAGCCCTTCTCATGACCACTGCTGTGTGGTCATGAGAAGCTGCTGCTCAAGTTCCCACTCACCGCATTTCCTAAACCCAGCCAGAGGCAGTCAAAACGCACCAGCTGTTTGACTACTGAGGTTCAAAAAGTTACCCGCTATTTCAATCATCTAGAAAGCCCAAGACTACCCACGCTGGAGAAGACTCGCCAGAGCTGGAAAGAACATGTGACACCTGAAAAGCTCCCCCACAGGGGAGAGGTGGTTAAATGTTCGACAACGTATCAGCAAAATTGTTCTTATAAAAAACAGATATGCCACCTCAAGCAACAAGGGAGGTTGTTCAGCCTGGAGAAAAGGCTGTTTCCTCTTGTCCTATCTGTTGTCCTATCCTTGCTGCAACCGAGGGAGGTTTAAATTGGATATTAGGAAAAATTTCTTACCTGGAAGGGTTGTCAAGCATTGGAACAGGCTGCCCAGGGAAGTGGTTGAGTCACCATCCCTGGAGGTATTTAAGACGTGTAGATGTGGTGCTGAGGGACATGGTTTAGTGGTGGACCCGGCAATATGAGCTTAACAGTTGGACTTGTTGATCTTAAAGGTCTCTTCCAACCTAAATTATTTTATGATTCTCTATGTCCTTTTCTAAGTAGCTACAGACTGTGAAAGGATTCCTAGGCAAGTGAATATTATTTTGCCCTTGATGATGCAGCTCTGCTTTCAGAAGGTCCCACTACTCAAGCCAATTTCCAGGAGCATGATAGAACACATCAGACAAAGAGTCTACACTTGATGCAATCTCACAAGAATTGAAAGTAGTAGTAGGGCTAACAAACCCTCTCGAGGTTAACAAGCACTCAGGAATCTCCATACTAAGTTATTTCCCACCAGGAGCCAGAAAAAGATGCTGCTTCGGGTTTTGGACATGAAGCAAATAGAAACAAGCAGAAGTGAGCCCAGATGCAGAGTCCAGGACTAAGCTCTGAAAGATGACATTTAACATTCTTCGCTCTTACAACAGAGAAATCGGTGTCAGGTGACTCATATTTATATAGTCTTTGTAAATAAGTATGGGGAGGTCAAATGCCAGGACAGCGTGTGAGAAAGAGAAAGGAGAAGGCAGGAAAAGCAAGATGTGAAGTGTTGACAAGGCAGCACAAAACAACAAATGCTTCTCTCACTAAACCAAGGCTGAACTGAAAGTATTACCAGAAAAGTCTGAACCTACATTTCAATCAGTTTACACTTCTCCATGCTGTAGCATAAGGGATTGCAAGAATGTCAGTAAATTGACATTCTGGGTTGATCAATAGATTAAGAGGATATGAACCAAACTGAGTCTTAACACTTCACCCTTACCATGAACTGCTCTTGCTCTGGTAAAGAGCGTTTTCTAAGAAGCACTACCACTTCTAACAAAGACAGAAAATATTCAGCATTACAGTAGTTGAACATACTGAAAAAATTTAATAAGACAAATGCCTTCTCAATACAGGTAAATTGTACAACACAGATTACATGTTTATAACTGGACTGAATTAGTCTTTTCGTAATTGGACAGTTTCCTCCTTAATTCCATCTTTTGTGACAACGCAAATCTTAAGTGCATCCCCCGTGTACACGTCTCTCTCAGCAGCAGAAATAAAGACATCTTTAACCAGCTGCAAAGCCTTTTCCAGGGTCAGAGGTACATGTTCCACATTTTGCATGTTCTTGAAGCCAATCTAAGGAAAGATGAAAATGCATTTTAAAGGAAGTATGTTCCATCTAGCATGAAAGCTGTTTCAGTTTCTGAATGAGCACATTTACACAACTTAAAAAGAAGAAATGGCTGGTTTGGCTTAGAAACCCAAAGCTGGCAAAGGTATTCCTCCACACATTTTACAGCTGCATGATCAGAACTTTGCCAATGCTGATCCTCTTACAAAAGAAACTAGAAGCAGATCCAGTTTAAGCAAGCACAGCTGCTCCTACCCATTCAGCATATACAAGATCGCAATGAACATTCAGATTTGATATAATTTTTCAGAAACTTCACTGAGTCAGCAGTATCAGAACTGCACACAAGCCTTTTCTCTAGTCATTCTGTAGTTACAAACATTTCTTAAAATCAAGTATTCCTAAATGTACCTAGAATTAAAAAACAGTCTACATTGGAACATAACAGGTCCTATCAAATAGCATATTTTAGCTGATAAACCTAAGTGTCCACTTAAGCATCAGAACTAAAAAAGGAAGGAGGAGAGTCACTTGCTACACCTCCAACTCAGAAACAATAAAAAGCAACTTATCACAACTTTGTTTCTACAGAAGGTATTCTATTTTCTGCAGTTACTGAAGTTCAAAACTAGGTCAAAGCTGAGAAACTGGAGTTGTTTTAAAAAAGTAAATGTTCTACTCATTTCTCAGCTGATAAGAACGAAGAGTGCTTACTGCTTTTTAAGCACAGAGTTGTGTTGAAATCAGGCTCAACCGACTAGACAATATCAACACCAATATCTGAGAATAAAATGAGTACAACATGATTTAGTATTTCTCTTATTCAACAATAATAGCTTCAATTAAATATGAAAATATTAAAATATTTTAGACAAATTTGAGTAAGTTTCCAGCAGTTTTCTGTAAGAACATTGCTAGAAAATGGTGTCTGAGTCGTACAAAACTTAAGGTTTTTAAACAAGTGCAGGTTAAGAGATAAAATGTATTATATACACCTACTAATTCTACTTTAATTTAGTATTCTTTCATGCTAAGTAACAGGCATGATGTTATCAGCTAGTGGAAAAAAAAAAAAAAAATCAGCTTCTTTGGGAAACATAATTCCCCAAATAAAATATTTACCTCTATTTTAAACAGACAGTCCACTCTTCATAGCATATTAAAACCCAAACAGATTCTAAAGCAAAGCTTTCTGATTTCTCCCCAGAAGATAAAGCCACAAAATTTATAGATTTATAGATTAACAGTCCTACCTGTAATACATTTAAAACTTCTCTCAAAAGTATTATTCCCCAAATGTAAAGCTGTATTAATTTGAATGCCACAAATGTTTACTGAGATCATAAAAAAGAAGGAAAGAAAAAAAAAAAAGAGAGAGGAAAAAAAAAAAAGAGACCTATTTTACCTGATTGTCAAGCAAGGGCTGCAGCATGGCACTTGCTGATCCACCTGCTTTGAAAGAATCTCTCTGGTATGAGCCTACTGGATCAAAGCTATATACTGCTCCCTTCCCTGGGGGAGGAAAAAAAAAGGTTGTAATCGCAATCCAGAAAGATCTGAATACTGATAAGCATTTACGTAAGAAATTAACACTCTCTTTAAGCAGTCTCTGAAGTACCACAGATCCCAGCAAACCTTCAAACCTTTACCAAATAATCATGCGGTATGTTCAGACAAAGCTTTGTACAATAGGCTCACTACGGTTGATCCTATATGCAAGGTTACCTTCAATATTTAAGCTATAACTATGTTCTAACAGATGTTTTCTACAGTACTTACCACAGAAAGAGTGCTGATGCAGAATAATCAATGCAGGAGAATGTGCTAAAGCGCAGTGCTGCACAAAGAGCTCTGCTGGTTCTAAAGCTAGCACAAAGAGGCAGTTTAGCCATCGTTCTTCATCAACTACCTCCAGACATCCTGCTTGCACCCCTCTGCATTGCCTTCCCAGATCCAGGAATAATGCTCTGGCCTCTTACGCACGTTCCCTCTGGGGTCAGGCCAGGTTGTGCAAAGCTTTTTAGCTTGCGCTGACATCAGAGATGCAGAGACACTGAACCTCTGAAGCACCAGCATTTGATGAGGACATACCAGTCAAAACGCAGCAGTTGGCCATGCTCATCCTTTCTGCTCAGGCAGACTGCACCTGATTTAATAAACTGGCCGGTTGTCCTGGCTTGAGCGACACAGTATTAATTTTTCTTTCAGTAACTTTACTTTTCAGTAAGGTCTCTTCTAATGCTTGGGAAAATCGCATCTTTAGAAGACTCTAGTATCTGAATTAGTGAAAATATTTACTTCAGAGCCAGCTGTGGTATGCGGGTTTCAAGGTCTCAGTGTTTTCGAGCTCACCAGGTGCAGGGATGAGGAGAAGTGAGACCCGGGCACTTGACCCAAGCTGGCCAACAGGATTATTTCATACTGTGAGCGTCACATTCAATATAAATTAGAAAGTTTGCTGAGTAGTATCTCTCTTCTCTGCTGGCCATGATCCTGAGAACTTCTTGCCCTGGTGCCAGACCCCTGAGGCCTTCCCTTCCTCCTGAAGCCGTAGCGCTCGCAGTGTCTGACATTTGCTGTTGGGAGTGCACAGCTTCCTGCAGATCAAATGGGCTGAGTATAATCCTGTATATTTTATACTGGTTCTGGGATCAACACTGGTTATTTAGTACTATTAATGTTTATTATTTAGTCTTATTCTATTAAATCTGTTTATATTTTAACCATCAGATTTCCTTGTTTTTTCCCCGATTCCCCTTCCCAGGTGGGGAGGGGTCATTAGGTGAAATAATAATTGTCTAAACAACAATAAACCATTGTGGGTTCTTCAAACCATAACATCAGTGCACTTGGCAGCACAGCACAGGCAGCGGAGCGGCCCTCAGAAAGCTCACAGAGATCTGGATAGTAACACTAAATCAGCACAACTCCCATGCATGCAGACCTGCACTCTCATTCTTATCAGCCCCTTCATCATCTGAGATTTACCATTCCACAGGGCAGACTAATCCCTTCCCAGACTCCACGTATCGCAGACGTGCCTTAGCGAGACTGGGAAAGCAGTATAACTTAATGGTAACAACAAACTGTGGGGAATTATCCAAATAAGACCACCTCTGAGCTCCTGCTCAAAGCCACAAAACACAGCATTTTAGCAACTCGACCAAATCATTCTACAAGAGCCCAGGAAGTCCTGTACACTAAACTACAGCTTCCATGTAGAAATCATGATTTTCATTAGAGATTAGTAAACATTTTAAAAATCTCTTTGTAGAAACATATCTCTGGAGTAAACCTGTCTATTTAATAACCTCTACCACACTGACAGGCTGGAGTAAAATATATGCAAATTTACTGCTAACATCTCCTTTAAAGACACAATTAAGAATTCCAGCAAAGCTGTTATAAAGTGTTCCAGTCTGGAGTGAAGTATGAGAGGTAAGCAACACTAGCAGATTTCACTTGTAATAAAATAATTACAATATAGTTTTTAGACTTTCATACCTTCAGAAATGGAAGATCAAGTTAGTAGTGGAAACTAGGAATGCACAATATGCATTTGACTATATAAGCCCCATAATGCCTAAAGGGAAGTGTTTGGAATAGGAAGGCAAACTTTGTTGTTCCATCAGTACACCTGAGATGTAAAAGACAGTTCTTGACCTACAGAAATCAGAAACTTAGCCTCTCTTTTCTTCTTTTTGTTTGAAGTCTTACCTTCTTCATCAAGTCCACCGATTATGTTGTAAACGTAGTAAGGAAAGAAACGTCGAGAATACAGAATTGTAGAGAGCATTGCTGCAATAGCCCCAGTAGTCATGGTCTTGTTATTGGAATGCTTGTACATCTGCAAGTGGTACCACATGTCCAAGAAGAAAGTCAAACACTGAACTTTACATTCCATCAGAACTACACTTTCTGTAACCTCACTACAGAAACATCTGATGCTGAGCAAGATTATTAGCTAGCATGATTACTGAAAACACACTGGTCTAAAAGTAAAGCCTTCTTACAAGCCAAAAATTAACATTTCTCCAAAGTTTTGCAAAGAACAGATGTTGCCTCATTAACATTATCTTCTCCAGCTCTTCCATTCTTTAAATTTGTGATGTTACACTTAGAACACAGCATCAATTTCCCCTGCCTGACCTTCCACTAGCAATAGAGTTGTCATACAAACACTTGAAAAACAGCAAAAATTGTATTTAAAACATACCATAGTATCACATTTGCGACCACTAATGAGAATTTAAGTTTGTAAATACAGTAAGATAGATAGCTACCTTTAATCTTGCTTCAATAATTTTAGTAAGGGTAAGGCAGTCACCATGGAAACCAGTGCATCCAATGACCGTTTGTGCTGTCCTGTAAAACGCAAAATTTTGTTAAGATTTTAGATTCAGCATGAACTACACCACTTTCTTAGGCAGTAGATTATTATGAAAACACCAAATGTATTTTCAGTTTCTCTAACACTATCAGAAACAGTTGTTTAAAATGTAGTAACAAATATTTTGTATACAAACATAACCGCAACCTACATCTTGGAGAGGACTCATTAAGTGCGGGACCATGCAGATGTCTTTCTTCAATCCACTGACTTCCACAGCAAGACTGACAAAAACAAATTCTTAATTTCTTCATGCACCCCTAACTCTAGCTATTATTCAGTCTTGCTAGAGGATCTGTTCTGAGACGGGGAGCCTGCTACATCCTATCACTCAGCCCAGTTTTACTCCATCTGGGCAGAGGACTGTGTTAAGATTGTACCGTGGCAATGTAACCCTCATGGTGTAGGTGGTTTCCTGTGTCAGCACAACGGAAGTTGTCTGGCTGCAGATGCCTCGTAGAAACTTAGCTCTCTGCCCAGTTTCGAAACATTTCATGAACATACACGTTTGAAATTTAAATTCTAGAAATTGGTGAGAATCTACAAACATTCACACTTACTTACAGATTAACACCAAGCAGCCAATCAGAAAAGAATTTAAGTTGAAACCTTCTCTCAGCCTGCCACTAGAATTACACAAAGCCATCACGTGCAGTATGCAGAGCATACCACAGTAACTTCCATTTGGACAGTATTAGAGTCAAAGGTACAGTGAGGAGTTAGCCAGGAGAAATTTAAGTTGATACGATCTTGTGTCATCAATAAAAATTATAAAAACAAACAAAACAAAACATAAAGAAAAATACTGTTGAAATAGCTGATGGCAGCCTACTAGGTAAACACCTGCTACACTCAAAACAATGTAAACAATATGTATTTTTAAACCAAGGGGATACTATTTAGGTGAATCAATATAAGCATAAAATCAGCATAAAAAAATGCCACAATGGAACTACTGACAAGTTTACCTCTCCTAAAACAAACACCTTCCCAAAGTGCCAGATGGTTAACTAGAAAGACACAGTACAACTGGCAGCAGTGGGTACACTTGTCTACCAACACCATGTGTCCTGACAAAGCTGAATGTGTTACCACAGGGTAAGGTTTTGCTACAGCTAAGGAAAAAAAAATTCCTCTGACTATCCAGCCAAAAACTCACCTAGCTTACATTAAATCTTGTATCATGATAAAAATATTCTGTTATTAGCTCACTTCAAGAGCATGCAACAGGAAATCTGGCTGTATATACAACACCACATCACATCTTGCATCACAGCAAGAGTCACCATGACTCCAAAATCAGTTCTGTAACTATCCTTTTCTTCTGATAATTCTGCTTAAAGAAAGCGATAGGTCATTCCAGGCAGGTGACACGCTCATCAATGCAAAAGATCTTCCATCTGTATCAATTCTTACAAGATCTGGACTTACAGTTTGTAGCATTTTGGACTGTCCCGGCAGTGAATGGCGTAACCTTCGCTCAGCCGTGTGTCGGAGGCAACGATAGAAAAGTCTTCTCCAGCAATCGCCAACACAGTCCTTAAAGAAAAGCATTCATATAATCATAACTCTTAGTACAAATATTTTCTTAGGCAACAGAGAAACAGTCTAGATGTACTTCTATATCCAGACTCACACTTTGTTTAGCATCTCACACTCCTTGCTGTGCTTCCCCACTATGCACATCCCTATGTGTGACTTCTGACTGGAGGAAGAAGATACTAGACACACTGAAGAAAATATATGTACATGATTCTCCACTTTTGACTAAAAACTGTATGGAAACTTGGTAAAACAGAGTTTCTATACAATGCAAGAACCAGACTCAACAGACTAGCAATTTTAGATGCCCCCTAACAAAACATTCACCCTTCTAAAATAGTTTGGCTCTCCAAGCAAAACCACTCCAGCCAACTACAAAGCATCAGTATCATTATACCTAAACTATCATAACTTTTTTAATCGGATGTTATCCTATGTTATTGACTTCCAAATAACTAGCTTTGTGACTATGATATGTGTGCTACCATTAAGTAACAAACATAGGTCCTTTAAAGAACGCTTAGGCATTATAAATAAAAACATCTGTAAGTAACACTATCCTGGCCAGATGCTGTCAGTACAAGTGTCTGCAAAACGTGACCTTCCTTGAACAGTTATGACAGAGTAACTTTCAACCCAGTTACAGGTTTAAAAGCTGGTAATATGACCATTACATGAGCTTCCAGAGCCACTATAAAGGAACAACCCCGCGGGGCACAGAAGGTGCTTATTTTGAACCCTAAGAGTTCGGGGAGCCCGAGCGTGCCAAAAAACCACACGGACATGCAAGAACATCCCGAAGAGCGGGATGCTCAGCCCAGGGCCGGGCCGAGCTCAGGGCCAGGCCGCGCTGCCCCCCTTTCCCTACACAGAGGCGTTTGCAAGGAGAGACAACCCCTCACAGAGTGCCTGGGGAGGGGGGGAGAAGGAGAAGAGGGAGCGGGGGGAAGGCAGAGAGTAAGACAAGGAAGCCCCAGACCCCACCGCCACTCTCCTCAGGGCCCCCTCCTCCGGGAACAGCGTGCCGGACCCCCCCCCACCCCGCGAGTCCTCACCCTCCGTTGAAGGTGTAGGGCGAGAAGCGGCACTGGACGGGAGCGCCCAGCCCATAGCCCAGCTCATAACCCAGCTCGGGCCTGGACTCCGCGTAACCAGCAGCGGACAACATCCCGGCGGCCCAGCTCGGTGCTGTCTCACGGCAAAATGGCGGCACCGGAGCCGGAAGTGGCGATCCGCCGCTCTAGGAGGGCAGCGGCCCCTTCGTCTCGTCTGCTCTGGAGGACGCCGGGCGGCACCGGGAAGGGGGCGGTGGCGCCGGGATGCCCGCGTACCCGCGGCCGTTGGGAGCGGCGGTTGCCGGTGCCACCGCCCCACCACCCCCCGCCGGTGGCGGGCGGGCTGCCGGCTCTGCCTGTGCCTGGCCCCGCAGGGCCTTCCCCAGCCTCAGCGCTCCCCCCCGCGCAACGTCGGGCAGCGGTTCTTGCCCGGTCCAAACAGTCAGCCCCATCTTCTGAGCCGCGGGAGCAAGCAGGTCGATAGCGGCTGTGGTGAGGTGATCAGAGACCCCCTTGTGTTTGGTGGGACATGGGGTGCGGTGCCAGGCACCTCAGCACAGGTAGAGACATAGACTCGTAGAACGGTTTGGGTTGGAAGGCACCTTAAATACCACCTAGTTCCAGCCCCCCTGCCATGGGCAGGGACACCTCCCACTAGAGCAGGTTGCTCAAAGCCCCATCCAGCCTGGTCTTGAACACTTCCAGGGATGGGGCCTGTATGAGAGAAGCGGGAAGGGCGGGGGTAGAAGTGCCAGGGGCGCAGGGAGATGCAGGGGATGCTCTAGAGAAGAGGCGTGTCCCGCCGTTCGGGAAGAAAAGCCGCTGCGGCCGCGGTGTCCGCGGGAGCTGTGCAGGGGTGGCGCTGGCACCGCGGGCTGCGCGGCTCCCTGCGGCAACCGGCGGCGATGGGTACAGCTCCAACAGCCTCCCAGCGCAGCGGGCTGTGGCTGGGCCCGGCGCAGGAGCCACGCCTTGCCAGCGCCGAGCGCTGCGGGCGAACAACGGGCCCCGGCAACCTCCCGACTGGAGGCTCCGCAGCCCCG